CGACTGTGCTGGTGAAGCAGCATATGCATGTAGGTAATTGGTGGATTTGTTAGTTAATTCGACGCTTTTAGACAATGCTGGACATTTAACAGTTTTTCAATAGTTTCTTGTTAAAAATCAACATTCGGAAGCATTGTTATCGATGCGTAGCCATATTTCTGATCGATTGGTGATAAAATTATTAAAATTGGACCAGGGGCAGCTGAGTTATTAACGTTCAAAATCTTTCTTAATTTGTTACATGTTCCATTTTCGGTTTTCACAAAGTGTACCCCCATATAGAAATCAAAGACGTAGTCCTACGTCAAAATTGTGCACGAGATGTTCACTAAACGTATTCTACGTCAACCATGTGGTCGTGTCTTGTACACAACCCCACAATGTTTTCATAATGGTTCCACTGATCGGCGTCCACAATCCAACAACAGTCAACTCTCTACATATTGATGTTCTATACCTCGATATGTGACCACTTTTTTTTCTATATGTTGATAATTATCCCGGTCCCTTCAAACGGTCTAGTAGCATAGAGGTAACTCTAAGACCAGAAGGTACAGAAGAATTGTGCTCAACTTTTTGGCTCAGCTCTGGTACTCTCTTCGGTCCCAAGCTAATCGATGCACCCCTCGAAACATAGGAAAATCCACGAACCCCTCATTTTGTCTGTCAAACTTTCATAGCGAATCAAAACAAACATAGTGTAGTACTAGAATTTCGACTAGAATGGGGTACGTTAATCGTTTGCTTGGGACCAATAGGCTAGTCAAATAGTGAGCCAATTTAAAATCGTTAGTTTCGTATTGATTGTTGCTAGTAGGCTATTCATGTTCTATATTCGATCCCTCAATATCTCGAAGGTCCCTTAAATATCGTGATATGGAAAGTTGACTGTAGTATTCAAATAGTCTATTCCAGTTAGCGAACGTTTAGTGTTCAGAAATAGAATACCAGTATGGTTGATTTCTGCAACAGATGTCGGTAGTAAAAAAAAGTTATGGCACAGACAAACAGACGCGAGATGTCGTTACTGCAGTCCTATGTTTGGTGGTACTATGTTTTGAAGATATTTTTAATAAAAGAGCTGTTCGTCTGTGGTTATTCATTTTATGTTGCATGCAGAAAACCAGAAACTTTATATTTTTACGAAATTAGCAACTTTTTCGAACAAATATTTGGTACACGTTGTAGCATGGCATATGGGTCATTCCAGCTCAAGTGGGTACAGGATTTTAAAAAGTTGTGGTCGATGTCACCGATTCGAGCCAAACTTGGCCAAAACGCTTATTTTGGCATTCTGAACAAACGCCTTTTTTGATTTTGCTCTAAAGTGCCTAGATCCTTCTGGACTACAACCCTGGATTTTGGAGATTTTTGAAAATTTCATCTTTCAGAAAAGATTACTCCACAACCAAATAAGCTATTCGTAATCTTAGAACGCCAATTTGAAGGTTTTTAATGCAGATTCTTAAAGGTGTACACACATTTTGTTTTTGTTATAGTAACTACAGTAAACAGGCTGATTACCGGCAGGTATCCAAATTGTCGAAAAATGGCCTATTTTCACCATGGGCGGGATTTTTTTATTTCCTAATATTTTGGGCTCAAATTTTCACCACACTTTGGAAAACTCTTCTAATTGCTGTGTTTCCAAGGGCAATTGATTTGGACAATCAATTTTTGAGATATGACCAGATAGTTTTGAGGTTTTTTGGTGGAAAATCAATGAGTTTTATATTTTTTTCCTTCACGACGATGGCACAATTAGTTTTTATGTTATTTTACACATGTTCTGGGCAGGATTCCCATAAGGTACCGTTTATTTATTTTGTAACGCTTGTAGGGGGGAGGGGTCACCTCTATCGTTACGAATTGTTACATAAGGGAGGGGGAGTTGAGCTTTGCGTTACGTAGCAAAGATAAAAAATAAAATCATAAATTTTTGTTGCATATCATGTGAAGGTTGAATACATAACTCAAAACATTTATTTTTCTTATAAATCTTTCTAGCAAAATAAAAACGTTATAACTAACTATTTTTTACTAATTTGCTATTGTTAAATTTTGGAAAAGCAGTTATTTGAAGGTAGTTAGCTCGTCTTTTGTTTTTATTTATAGAATGTCAGATAATCTTGAAATGTATGCTTTTGTATTAAGTCAAAATGAGATGTAATTAATTTCAAATATTACGTAATTATTGCACGGCGCCTAGCTCATTTACTTCTGTCCATAATTTAATAGTGGTCCTAAAAGGGGCTGTCCATAAACTACGTAGACAGTTTAGGGGGCGGGGGGGGGGGGCTTTGACAATTATCCACGGCCCATACAAATTTTGAATTTTTTGTATGGACAATTGTCTATGCAGGGGGAGGGATGGTCAAGAATCCCAATAAACTGTCTACATAGTTTATGAACAGGCTCAAAGTGAAAAATACGTTCCCATGTCATATAAAATTTCACTTGTTTATGGCAGCTGCTGCATGAAAAATCGATACATGACAGTTACGTTAACAGTTAACTCATGCATTGATGTTGGCATCGAAAGCTCTCAATTAATAACTGTGGAAGTGTATCTAGAACACTAAGTTAAGAGCACGCAATAAGCTAATATGCAATAAGCAATAAGCTCAAATGCGTAGAAGAAGAAGATGACGTTACATGAATGGAAAGTGTGTTTTCAAAAAATGAAAAATAGAGGTTCAACGTTTATTTTCTTTATAACCATAATAAAAAAACATTCTTGCTCGTGAGATTGCATCTAAAAAACTAAAAAATTTAATCAAATAAGGATATTATTCAAAAAGCAGCTGTTATCCACAACTGAAATTCTATATACCTGCTAATCTATCTGATTTCATCGTGCTTCTTAAGCACAACGTTTTGGCTGTATCCCATAGGAACGCACTTTTCACTTTTAAGACCACAATTATATTATGGACAGAAGTAAATAAATGACCTAGTTATGATTTCATATAATGAGGATCCTGCCCAGAACATGTGAAAAATGACATTAAAATATTATTGTGAAATCGGAGTGAAGGAATTCAATAAAAAATAAAAAAATATTATATAACATTGATTTTTCGCCAGAAAAGCTCAAAACTACCTCTCACTCATCTGGTCATACCTCAAAAAATATTTGTCCAAACCATTTGCCCTTGGAAACACATCAAGTAGAAGAGTTTTCCAAAGTGTCGTGAAAATTTGAGCCCAAAATATTAAGAAATAAAAATCCCGCCCATGGTAAAAACAGGCCATTTTTCGACAATTTTTATACCTGCCGGTAATCAGCCTGTTTACTGTAGTTACTATAACTAAATCAAAATGTGGATTCACTTATAATAATCTGCATTAAAAAACCTTCAAACTGGCGTTCTAAGATCATGAATAGCTTATTTGGTTGTGAAGTAATGTCTTCTGAAAGATGATTTTTTTTTTTTTAAATCTCGAAAATCCGGGGTTGTAGCCGAGAGGGATCTAGGCACTTCAGAGCAAAATAAAAAAGGCGTTTGTTCAGAACGCCAAAATAAGCGTTTTGGCCAAGTTTGGCTCAAATCGGTGACATCGACCACAGGTGGTGTAACCACTTGAACTGGAATGACCCAAATGTGACATTTATCAATAAATCGTACCATGAAAATATCACTTTTAATCAAAATGGCATCTGAGACTTTGAAATATTGAAAACCTTGGACAAAATCGTAGAATACCAACTTTGGGTCACATTTTTTACTTTAGTTTTCCCTACAACTTTGTCTCGATATTTCCGTGAGAGGATTGAAAAATGTCACAAATGCCATTATGAAAAAAAATGCAACACTCAAAATGGCCAAATTCTAGCACAAATGTGAATGATTGCCCATAACAAGCAATTATGCAAAGCTCCATACAAAGCAGAGAAGATTGAGTTTAATCGATTCGTCATTTGAGGTGGATCTGCCCCATTGGCAAATACCGATTCCTAGGATTTTCCAAGTATTTTGAGTTTAATTATATTCTTCGATTACAGTGTTGAAACTGTAAATCTCTCGTACATTTTTAAATCATCTCAAAGCATCGTATATAACATTAACTGAAGTTTATAATCCTCCCCAGATTGATTGCGCTGACCGTTGCCGGTTTCAGCAAATGAACAGATGGTTTTAACAAAAAGGCATTCAGCTTCACTCAATTCATTAGTTTATACAGCCGGATAATTTGCAGACACGCACATCCCCGTATATCTTATTTATGAACACATAATCAGCTGCTTCAACGCCGCATTATGGCGCTGATTTCAACACCGAGAGACGTCGCGGTTATCTTTGCGCGCTTTTTCTTCGTCATTCTCAGAAATTGCCACCACCAACCAAACACAACAACCATGCAGCAACTTCAACCAGATCGTCTCGACCGAGACCACCGAACGATTCGCTGCCGGATGGCCGTCGTCGGTCGGGTCGTCCTGCTTCTGTTGCGATGTCACCGCGATTCAAAATTTCTTTCACTCGTGAAAGATGGAGGGAGATTTATTTATTTTTTCCTTTAATTTTATCACTCTCGCCAATTTCAAATAACACACTGACTGCTACCGATTTCCACTGCGTTTGTGTCTTCGATTTTCTTACTGCTATTTGCCTACACTTAACGCCTCGCTGAGGGAGTCGATGTCAAGAAAGAGTGCGCATATTTTCACTAGTTTCTTTTTTTCTCATCCAATTTGCTGTGAGGAAATTCCTGATCCACATTTCAAAGATTTACGTAATTTTCCGGTTTCTCTAAATTTGTCACATGAACACACGCTGCTAATTGCACCGGATTTTTCGTCGCACTTCTTCTTGGTCCATGTCTGATGATGGAAACGCAAACGGAAGTAGTTTTCCCCTTTTTTGGGGAAAATTTGCATCACTTTTTCACTTTCGGTCTCTCGGCGCTGATTGATTTTCTATCTCGTTCTTACCGATGGCCCCCTCCACCTTCCACGGAAATGGCTTCAGATTACACCAAGCTAACCGTATACTTACTTCCGAACGCGATGGGAAATCTCACTCAACTGACAGCGGACAGTTTGCTCTCGCCGATTTGCCGACGATCTATGCTCAGTTCAGTTTGGGGAACTCAGTTTGCAAGTCAGTAGGTGGGTAAGTATCAGGCGCATGCGTTTCCGGATTTGAGAGAAAGACACTGTGCGCGCGTGGCTTTGTTCGTTCCATGCAAGGAGGCGGATGGTTGTTGTTATTGTTTTCGCTCATTCATCATTTTTAACGTTTTGAACAATTTATCGAAAAACAAATTTAAATTGTCCTAGTAACCTTTGAACTTCATTAACACCTGATCAGAACAACAGACGTTTCAGAATATGCAAGTTCTGGATGATTTTTCATCAAACACACTCCCACAGTAAGTTCGAAACGAAAATCTCCCACTTCAACAAATTGGTGTAAATTGCCCCAAACGACTCCCGACACGAGCCAGCGTTTTCACTCAAGGGGCGGCGAATGTATAATCCAAATAGTCCATTAGTTTCAATCAAAAATGTAAACACAGACTGCGCCGCATGAAGGTAATCTCCAACATTTCGAGATTCCCGAGTCCAAGATCACACACTCGTAAACGGCCATCCGGTTCGGTAACAGTTGGGCCATTTTCTCGGCACTGTTTAAGCTTCAATCCGCCTCCAAACCGGATAAGATATTCGGAAACAGGTGCTCATTTTACAAACTACGTTTTTTTTTCACGGTCACTGTTTTGATTTAAGAGAGAATGATTTTGCACACAACTCGCACTTACTTCTATTTGGCAGCGGGAACTCATGAGAAAGGAAAACCGGCTGATCCCACGGAGATTGCGCAAATTTGAATCACGGTCGCAGGCAGTATGTCTAGTTTACGAGATTTTAGTTGAAACGGTGTGATCTATGCTCATTGCCTAACAACTAGCTTTTCGTTAAGGAAAATTCCATATGAGATAGGATCACTGTTAGAAATATAATTGATCGCAGCAACCTTTTAATATAAATGTATCGAATCCAGTTAATAAAATGTTCATTCCTTTGTCAACCATCAGACAGTAAAGGCTAGTGGCATCCCACTCTAAACTTTGGCTCAGATATAAATTAAACATTTCTAAGGCTGTGTTCGATTTGGTGAATTTTCACCTAAATTTGACAAATCGAAAATAAATTATAATGTTCGAAAATCCATCTGTTGTTGCTCTTCCGAGTTTCTAGAAGGTGTTTGTCAAAATTGATTCCTGGTCTGTCAGAAATAAGTCTGGTACAATAGCAGGTTTATATGTAAATTTTCCATCTGTCAAATTTAAGTGAAAATTCACCAAATGGAACAGAGCCTAAATCTCTCACAACTATTCTTAAGTATTTTTAAATATTTTAAATTTTAGATAATTTTCATCGTAGTGACCGGTTGCTAGTGTTGTTGTTTGTTGTTATATGTTCCGTCGATTCGTTAGTTTTCGAATACCTATTAAATTAAATTATTACTTGTTTTAATCTTCTTTAATTGGTAATGGGTAAATATTTAAAAGTTATGCGTAAAGTCGCTATATTCATAGTCTGGCGGATAGAATCTCGGGAACAAATTGAGCTGTCAAATAGCGGAACCAATCGAGCAAATCACGACTAGCAACAGAAAAGAGCACATCAGCTATTGCGAACAAAACTTCGGATGCCCTTTTCTCGTGACTCAAGGCTCGCCTACGCAAACTAACACCTTTTTTGGGTTGAGGAAAGTTTCCCCTATCCGATTATGCCGGTAATTTGAGTTCGATTGGTGAAGAAAGAATAATCAACGTTTTGTTAATAAAACTTGAAAGTACCGCTTTTTGACAGATTGAATTTCTATCCGCCAGACTATGAACATAGCGACTATAGTTATGCGACGATTGTTACACGGTAAGAAAAAAGTACCCAACGGCCAGTTCACTTTTACCTACTTTTGACTAGTTTGTCTCCTTTTCTCCTTCTAATGTTGTCAAAAACAGGGAAACAAAACCACCCAACAGCGGTAGTAAACTATGAGAACCCAACGTTGAGTACAACCATATTTACCTACTTTTGAGTAGAAAGGGTTTTTTTGGGTACTTTTGGGTAGAAAGCTAGTAGAAAATTTCATACGAATTGCACACAAGTAAATGAAAACTACTTTGACCCGCTTTACCTACTTTTGGGTTCCTGCACTATTATCACCGACAAACCGACATGACCATCGAATTTCTGATCAAAGCACAAAACTGACATCTGTCGCCGTGTTCGCGAAAATTGTGTACCCTAGCCACGAACACGCATGCAAAATTTATGAGTTGGTTCGTGTCTAATCTATTCCGGTCTAATTATTTTTATCTAGATAAAAAAACTTCTATGGTTTTGACAAATGGGATCGCTGCACATTTGAATCCGCCGTTATGGATTCTCGATCAAGAGTTAAGTTTAAGTTTCATGTCGGTTTGTCGGTGCTATTATAGTGCCAAGATGAGTGAAAAGAACTTACTTTTTGGTACTTTTTTCTTACCGTGTTTCACCTATTTGTCAGTCACTGCTCCCCTTAGGATCAACCATAATGGTCTGGGTCTGAATGATCTTGGTTAATTTGTTGCAATGGATCAATGAAAATGCTGAGGTTTTCACAGAACTATGCTGTGGCTACAACAGTATTTTACATTTGATCGTCCATATACAGTAGCGCCAAAAGTACACGAAACGAAAATCAATTATTTTATTCATGTGTTTCACTTATACATTTTTGCCAAAACATCAGCCTTGTACATTCCATAAGACAAACCATATAAGTCCTATAAGAATGCATAAAAGGTATGTGTGACCGCTTATACATTTCATTTGACACATGATCTTCATTAACTTTTTCCAAGGTGTCTGCTTATTAGTTGACTTATACATTTTAAGAATAATCGGCAATAGAAATTTGCCAAAAGATATAAGGAGATTTCTATCCGTGTATGCTCTGGTGGGTACAAAACTTGATCCTCTAAATTGGTCAATTGGATACTTAGGATACGTAGCTGGTACGCTGGTAGTGCCTACGAAGGTTTTGCGGAGTTTTGAGGTCTTTATTGAGCCTGACAAGGTTCAAAGTATTACTCACCTGTCTGGATACTGGCACCTGTTGCTTTCTCGACCCGGGAAATCGACCCGGGACATCGATTGAACGCAGACACCGGTCGATGTCGTCGGTCGTTTCCGGCTGGACATCATAGTCAGTACTGGTGTCCACGCGCGGTGCTACTTGCTTCGGGAAGCCTCGAATCAGTTCATGAAGGAAACCACTTCGGCCATTACCAGATAGCGGTGCGAGCCCTGGTCTTGGTAGACTACAGGTTGCGATGGTGTTATTGGCCAAATTGCTTATGTAGATGTTGATCGTAGGCTGGTAAACGGCTGGACAATGCGTACCATTGATACTTCGCGTATCGGCAGGTATAACATAGACCACACTAGCGGTCCTTAGCCTCTTGTCCAGTAACTCCTATCCCTACCTCTACCGCGGTGCCGGCTGGGGTACGAGTAACCATAGGGAAGATCGGGTAACCAACCCCGGTGGGACCTTGGTCGTATGCTGACAGGCAAGGGGGGGGGGATTCCTCTCTCCGGAGGGTGCAATCTTCGAGCGTCTGTTCACCATGGAGGTGCGGCTCAAAACGGCGTCTGTTCTCCATGTTAGGAGCGGCTGATCAACGTCCTGGTGCCAGCGTGGGACTCTAAACAGTGCTGTGCACGATGGTCCCCCGGCGAGACAATGGGGGTTGGTGCAGGCCCTACAAGCCAGCCCTAAAAAACAAAAGTACAGGAAGCAAGCAATGTAAATACGGACCGGAACAAGACCCAAGCAACGGAAACGGACTAACGATTGGAAGCTCGGAACATGGAACTGCAAGTCTCTCAATTTCTTGGGAAGTACCCGCATTCTTTCCAATTCATTGAGGGTCCGCAAGTTCGACATCGTAGCGCTGCAGGAGGTTTGCTGGAAGGGATCGTCGGTACATACGTGTAGGGATGGTTATACCATCTACCAGAGCTGCGGCAATACACATGAGCTGGGTACAGCTGGGTGGTGGCCAATCGATAGCAGAATGTGCCAGTTGAGGATCAAAGGCCGTTTCTTCAATGTCAGCATAATCAACGTGCACAGCCCTCACTTAGCAAGTGACGATGACGAAAAAGACGCTTTTTACGCGCAGCTGTAACGGGTTACGACAGCTGCCCAAGCCATGACGTCAAAATCGTCATCGGAGATCTTAACGCTCAGGTCAGCCAGGAGGAGGAATTCAGACCGGTTATAGGAAAGTTCAGCGCTGACCAGCTAACGAACGCCAACGGCCTTAGACTAATCGATTTCGCCGCCTCTAAGAACATGGCCTTACGTAGTACCTACTTCCAGCATAGTCTCCCACATCGGTACACCTGCAGATCACCGCAGCAGACAGAATCGCAAATCGACCACGTTTTGATCGACGGAAGGCATTTCTCGAACATTATCGACGTCAGGACCTATCGCGGCGCAAATATCGATTTGGACCACTACTAATGGTCAAGGTGCGCCAAAAACTTTCCGTTGCCAACAACATTCGGTACCGACGCCCGCTACGGCACAATCTGGAGCGACTGAAGCTGCCCGAATTCGCAACTGAGTACGTGCAATGCCTCGAAGCAGCGTTGCCGGTTGAGGGAGAGCTCACCGAAGCCCATCTTGAGGACTGCCGGAGCAACGTAAAAGCAGCCATTAACAGCGCTGCTGAAGGCGCCGTTGGGTTCGTGGAGAGGAATCGACGGAACGATTAGTTCGACGAAGAGTGTCAGACGGTTTTGGACGAGAAGAACGCAGCGCGGGCGGCGATTCTGCAGCAAGGAACCCGTCATAATGTGGAGCGATATAAACAGAAGCGAAGACAGCAAACCCATCTTTTCCGGGATAAGAAGCGCCGCCTGGAAGGGCTGGAGTGCGAAGAAATGGAGCAGCTGTATCGTTCTCAAGAAACACGCAAGTTCTACAAGAAACTCAACGCATCCCACCAAGGCTTTGTGCCGCGAGCCGAAATGTGTCGCGATAAGGAACGGGGGTATCTTAACGGAC